TTAACTCTGTCAGCAATATGTTTGTTGCCACGCCCCAAATCGCCCGCCCCCACACGTGCACCTTCCTTTTTTCGTACTTACTTATACATATATTTTTATCTTCTACGTGCAGCTATGGACCCAAGGCGAAATTTAAATAGAAATAGCATGTTGATGTTATTGGGAGTAGGTTCATATTTAATTTAATATGCGAGTCTCTTCCTTAGCTTCGCCATGTGGATGTGCATAAATATTTTAATTTATTTTTGCTAAAGCAAAGGCGAGATAAACTATCATATACATATGTATACAAAAAAGTAGCAAACAGAATAATTATGGAGGTAGAATGCATTTTTAAAAACTTTTCTCATTTAAAAGAGTTGAACTCTCTTTTCTATTTACTTATAAACAAAATGTTATACCTAAATACAATGTAAACTTATACAAAATAGAATGAGTAGTCGATAATTGCTTTTGATTTAGTTTTTTTGTCAGGTATGTTTTTTAATAAGCATTTTTTAATGAATTGAATTCATAAGTTTAATTCTTTGCTTTGAGGAGGTATATTGATTTTAGTCGGATATTGGCTTCTGAATTACTAATAAAGTCAGTCTAATCAGTCTGTAAAGCAACAAGTTTCAACGCAGTTTTAATTAATTTTTAAAATATTTAGCATTGATACAAGAATGCTAAATTATAAAACACCGACGTAAAAGTTTTTACAGCTGCAATTTAAAAACTCACCTAAAACTACGATATGGTGCAGACAAAAATGTGTTTTAGACCAAATAAAAAGTTTATTATACCCTTGCAGAGGGTATTATAATTTTGGTCAAAAGTGTGCAACGCAGTGAAGGAGACATCTCCGACCCTATAAAGTATATATATTCTTGATCAGGATCACCTCCTGAGTTGATATAGCCATGTCCGTCTGTCCGTCTGTCCGTCTGTCCGTCTGTCTGTCCGTCTGTCTGTCCGTCTGTCTGTCCGTCTGTCTGTCCGTCTGTCTGTTTCTACGCGAACTAGTCTCTCAGTTTTAAAGATATCGAATTGAAACTTTGCACACACCCTTCTTTCCTTTGCACGCAGTATATAAGTCGGAACGGCCGGGATCGGCCGACTATATCCTATAGCTGCCATATAACTGATTGATCGGAAATGCCATAACTCTGCTGTTTGTTAAGTTAGGAAGTTGGGATTTTCTATGGGTTTTATATTTGGCCAATCAATCCGACCTACCAAATTTCATAATGATCGGTCGACTATATCTTATAGCTGCCATATAACTGATTGATCGGAAATGCCATAACTTAAGTGTTTGTTAAGTTAGGAAGTTGGAATTTTCTATGGGTTTTATTTTTTGCCCAATCAATCCGACATATTAAATTTCATAAGGATCGGCCGACTATATTCTATAGCTGCCATATACATAACTGAACGATTGGAAATGCCATAACTTTGGTGTTTTTAAAGTTCGGAAGTTGGGATTTTTTATGAGTATTAAGAATGCATCATATGAATAATTTTGGAGAATATAATTTGCAGAATATTCTGCAAGGGTATTTCAACTTCGGCTCCGCCCGAAGTTAGCTTTCCTTTCTTGTTATTATTAGTTTATTATGGCTATGCGAAGAAGTACATACATTTCTATCCTCTAGAGTAGCCCAAGCCCCTGAGCTACATGTTATAGACAATTGCAGTGGAGTGCTGTTTGGCCAGGCACTGGCACTCCTTGCGTGTTTTGCCAGGAACAGGATCAGAGTACGAACGGGGAAAATCGCGCAGGATGCGTTTGGGGGATAGCAAGTGGTGCAGCTGGATAATGGTGCAGTTGCGCCAGCTTGTTTGCTCTTGTCACACACTTCGATTGCGTGAGCAAGCATGAGGAGCGCGAAAATTCCACAATTCCAACTAAATAAATAAGAGCGTGCCTTGGGGCTGGATATATATATATATATATATATATCTAAAAAGCGGTCTAGATAAGACCACGCCCACACATCTATTGAGAAGCTTTTGTGGCAACAAGTGCAAGTGGCAAGTGGCAAGTGGCAAGTGGCTGATCGGCCAAAAGCAGATAACAAGTCAAGTGGTCTGAGAGAACGTGCAGGTGCCAAGATACTGCTTTAAGTATTTGTAAACAGAAAGAAAAATATATTTCTTCAAATAGAATGTGTGAAATTAATAAAGATTATCTGAAAAATTTATAAAGGTGAATTCCATAGTAGTTTATTTTAAGAGGAAATAGCTTGATTTTTACTTTCGATGGCTTCAATGTTGTATTTAAGTTTAAAGCTAAGTGATTTTTATAAATGGATAGATTTTGTCTTTTGAAACCCTATTAAGTTTTACCAAAAGTTTGTAAAACTTAAGAAGAATACCAAGCTTTAGAAATCGGCAAAAGTTTTCATAAAAAACAAAATTGGGGCTTAAACTCAATGTAATCTAAACTTAAAAGGAATTTCTGCGTTTTTGACTTTCCGATCATGATCGGAATTAGAAGTATTAAATACAATATCCTTGGTTTTTTCCTCTGTTTGGTTGCTCGAGTGTGGGTTTGTGTATGCCACCTGAAGAAACTCGTCTCCAGATTGTGCATGAAATCAAGCAGAATGAGAAACCAATTTGTGTGGAAAACACAAAGGCAGCAACAACCACAGCGGAGAAATTAAATTGGCCAAAGGGTTTAAGTTTTTCCACAGCTCCCACTTTCCGACAAAGCCGCGCATTTTGAAGGTGAAGTCAGTGGAAGCATTGCTGAAAGCAAACTTTTTATAAGTCGCTAGAAAGTCGATGGCAATAAATTTCATTCGCAACTTTCTTCTTTCGTTTTTATTTCGGTCGAGAAGGAATTTTAATTCAATCCCAGATGAGAGCTTCGCTTCGGGGGAATGGTTCGAGAACATAACTAAGACTTAACCACAAAGAAGCACCTCAAAATTATTTAAACGGGCAGATAGTTAAAGCTCAACTGCAGGAGTTGAGTTGACCCGGGCAGCTGGTATTATGTGATCCGCTCGCCCTTTGTCTCCCCGGAAAACACACAGAAATGAAGCCCCAAAGCCAGTGGGGAAATCCAGTTTGGCCGGGTGTTTGGCTGTTTGGATGGTCGTGCCTGTGTGTGTGGGTGTGTGTGTTGGCCATGGCCACTAAACGTGGCCGACTGCGGCTGGGTGTGCGTCGCAGTGGAAATGCACTCGAATAAACACAAAATTTATATGAACACATGCAAGACAGATTAGGGAGCCAAACGAAAGGGAGAGGGTTACGAATAAAAAATACAAGTCCATGGGTGCGGTGGACGATTTCTCTGTCCCCACTTTGTGTACTTTTGTGGAAGCAAACAAAAGCAATTTTTGCGTTTTATGAATTCCTTTGGTTCATGGCTTTAGCCTGCTTTATGGTATACTTTCATTTATGCAATACGAAAACAGGCATCCAAACAAGCAAACAAACAGGCAGGGGCACTGTGCACTGAACACCAAGAGCAACATTTCTGTTTTCCATCTAAGCAAAACATTTAGAATAGCATACTTTTGCGAGCTTTGTCAAAGTTCTGCCGCATCCGTTTTCCCATCACAGAAAACGAAACTTTTTTGATTGACCAAAAAGTACGGCGTCGGTTTACGTTTTTTCGGTTTTATGGAATTGCAACTTTACAGGAAGCCCGAAAAACTGAATCGAAAAGACACCCCGAAATTTTCATTCCATCACCACCATCCTCCGTCCGATTTTTGGTCGCATAAAACTCAATTGAGTCGTTAAATGTACAAAAATGTGATAAATAATCAAATTACATGGATTTGATGTCCGCCCAGATTTTGGGCTTTAACATTTTACGACGTTAAATTTTCGTTGGGTTTCATTTTTTCCGGCTCATGCATCATTTATGGCGCAATCGCTGATTATTCGGCTCTAAGAGCTAATGCCTAGTGGATTTGCCATTTTTCAATTATAGCGCCAAAGTGGCCTTTGTCTGCCGTGTTCGTGCGTTTGTGCGTTTTAAATTTCCAATTAGATCCGAAAGCAAACTAATTTCATGCAAATTGCTGGCGAAAAAAGTACGGTTTCTTTGCACGTTGCGAAATTTTCTCTGTCGAAATTAAGCGTACACCAGTCTACGCAAAAACGTACCCTATGTTTTTGTGTTCCTTTTTGGCGAAAATTGCCGGCATCGAGGGCGAAGTTTTAGCACATGCCTCGTGTGGATTTCTTTCGGAATTTCCCCCAATTTTTTTTTCTTTCAATACCCTGAGTGCTGTCATTTAAAAGGATTAATGTGCTGCCATCAGTGGCCTGTCATGTTGTGCGTCTCGTCTCGTTTCGTCGATGCTATTATGCATTTGATTGGCATTTGTTTGTGCACAGCAATCAAGTCATATTCCCCACCTCCGACCTCCTGGCCAAAACAAAGGCCTGTCAAAACCGACGTATGCCGGCAGTGTAATTAAGGCTGTTCCAGAATGAGCGGTTTAGTTTAGTCAACAGGTAACAGGTCGATGCAGATGTAGATCGTTTTAATTAGCCGTAAGTCGATAGCCGCAAAAAAGGGCCGGGGCCGACGGCTCTTTGATGTGCGGGACACTGGCCATCTGGCGGGTGGTGCCTCGTTTTCCTGACAAAGTCCAGCCGCATCAGTGGCCGGAGTACGTCAGCATCGCGATGAGCATTAAGGCCCGCGGAATGGGTGGCAGTCACAATCTTGGCGACACTGTCAGTGCCATGTCAAGGGGCCATTTGATATGCCACTGACAGTTAGCACATTTGGCGCATTTTTTCCCCAGGCCCTCTTCCTTTTTTTTTTGGCTTTTTATACAGCCCTGACAGTGAGGAAAGTGCCGATCCACCGCTGACAGCTTACAACATTTGAGTGTCTATTTTTGGGCGGCATTTAGTCAAAATCCGTTTGATCAAAGGTAAAAACACTTAAACACTTGGCTGCACTAAGAAATAATGTGGTTATACAATGTAAGAAACTTAAAAAAAGATGGTCAACATTTAAAAATTAGTTCTTTATTTTTTGATGTGCTATTTATTTAATTCTTAGTAAAAGCATTTAATTTCTAAAATATATTAGTTAAGTGTGGTGAAATGAAAAATAGTATTTTAACAGAGAAAATGTATGTGCCCAAAACGAAATGTGCGAATAAATAAAATCATCTACATAATTAAGATTAATGAATGAGTTTAAATTAAATTAAATTTTGTAAGATAGGTTAATGAAATAAAATATAGAAATCGAGAAGTTCGTTGTTAAATGAATATTAAAAGTGACACGAAAACTGAATTTATAATTAAGTGACGTATTTTTTGTTTAGTGTGCGGTGCGATCTCTATTTGCTCTTAGTCTAAACATACGCGTACAAACTTATCGACTAGGTACGGAGGGATATATCCACCGATGCCGATCAGTCGCCGCAGCGTGAGTCGCAGCTCTCCTGTGAGCAGAAGCGGTTGCGGTTGCCGTTGCATCCTTTGTAGTTGAACGGCTTGCAGACGCCCTTGTCGAAGTACCAACGGGTTACGGCCTTAGTCTTATCCTTGCTGCTGCAGAAGTTTCCCTCATTTCGACCTACGTAGCAGTTCACATTGTCTGAAAGAATCCAAAAGTCACAATTTAATCAATCGCCGCCTGGAAATGCTTCACGTTTCGGTTGGCCAACGCGACTGGCCTCATTAAGTGCAATTAGGTTTGTTTGTTTATACGGGCCTCGAAGCAGACGACAGAATATTTCATAATTCCCTGGCCACGTTGTAGTCATAAGCGGAAAAATAGAACAATTTCGCAGACAAAATTGACTCTGGCCGGCTAAAATACAAAAAAAAAACCAGCACGCGGATGAAACTTGGCATGTATCGAAATATTTTGTTCTTAAGGCATGGACTTGCTATTTACCTTTGCATCAAATAATAGTTAATTATTTTTTTTTACCTAAAAAAATGTCACTTTATAACAAGATTTAGGAGATATACGAATTATGCGTGAGCAAGTAAAATTGAGTGGTATTAAGCGGGAAAACCATGTATCTCCTGTTTTATTGGTCTTTAAAATTACTTATAACTAACACACCTGAACAATTTTGTTTTAATTGTGAAATGGAAGTCATCCACTAAACTTTAGTTTAGTAAGATTCTGATCATCAAAAAAGTAATAACATTTTATATTTATAAAAAATCTGCTAATCAATCGAATGCATTTTTTAAGCTTGATATAAAAGTTGAAAGGAAATATGATAGGAACTAAATTTTGTAGGATCTGAACTAAAATATTAACTCTGGCATTCTTAGACACTTACTCAGCTCTTTGCATGACACCACTGCCTCATTGCCCGAACTGCCGCCTCCAAAGGCCTCGATTTCCGCGGTCTGTGTCAATAGGATGATGGACAGGAGGCCGACGAGTGTCGCACAGAGGAACGTCAGATTGATTTTCAATTTCATGTTTTTCGCACGGCCAACAGAAGCGGAATGAGGAATGAAGCACCACCGGCAGCAGCTGTTCGATGTACTCGCCCCAGATGCGAACGGAGAATGCCGGATCGGAGAGTCGGGAAGCCTGAAACTGAGAAACTGCCGCCAGTTGAGGCTGTTCCAATTGTTCGGTTTTTGGTATTTTTAAGTAATCTGCGCTACTTTCGGGCAGAAAAGCGTGCAGCCGACTAACAAATCCAACCGAACCGATACGAACTCACTGGCTGTGGCGCATTTCTGTTTTCAGTTTATATTCGAAATGCCGGAAATTGTTGCTAACTCGAACGCGAACTATTCGCCCAGTCGTTCCCATTCGTCTAATAGTTTCTCAGGCTGCTTCGAAAATTCGGAAAATCTTTCGAGCATTGCCAGCATGACAATCGCCTGGTATGCTTAATACGCATATCCATTCATCCAACCATCCTTCCATCCATCCATCCGTCCATCCGTCGGTTCCGCCATTCGCCCAACGGACCGTGTCCATCAATGCTAAGTAGGAGAAGATATTTTTGGTCAACAAAATGTTTGACGCTCCCGAAACGACCGACGAACGGCGAAATTGCACTTAGTTTTATCTTTGGGGCGTTTACTTTGCGCTCGTTTGCATAATTTCCAACTTATTGAATATTTTCCACATAATTAATTTTAATTATTTGTGTTTCTTTCAGGCATTTGAATTAATTTAGATAAGAGGACCGCGTGGTTGGGGGTTCGGAGGGTAGGGTAGAAGGCGAAAAGGGTCGCGGACTGCAGTCACAAGGGATGGCTCTTCCATTGTCTCTAATTACAATGGGCAGCATTTGTTTTGGGTTTTTCTTCTCCCCCTTTTTTTTATTCTTTGGTTTATTTCAATTTTGGTTTCTTGGCAAGTGGCTTTGGCATCGGCTCTCGCCTTTTCCCATTTTCCCTTTGGGTTTTTGTTGCTTCTATTGCTGCGGGTCGAGCGCAAAAATCAATCTTCATTTAAAATTCAATTTAATGCGCTGCGTGCATAAAAGAAGTTCCCCAACGCCTTGGTCATCAAGCGTATTGGATTCGCCGGGAGAAAATTAGAAAACAATTGTGTATATATTTTGGGCGCTCTGACGCATCAAAGAGAATTTGCGAAATGGTGTCGCATGTCGAGAACGTCTCACAATGATATTATTCGTGATGGCCACAGACTGGAAGACTAGACAAGAAATTGCCAATAAATATTTAAATCAGCTACAAATCAGTAAAAATATATATATTTAAAATCTATAGAGCTGGAAAATCGCTCGAACATTCACCATTACTCAGAATTTGTAGAGTAAATTAAATTAAATTCATTTTCCCCAAAGCTATACTTTGACCAACTACAAGAGATTTGATCTATATAATATTATAATATATAATTAATAATATCGCTATAATTTTAAATTTAAGACAATAGGTGTAGACAAAATTTAGTTCACTTTAATACTTAGTTGTCCAATTTAATAGAAACCCTTTTTTTATAAACCAGTGATGGGGAAATCATGAAAATTACAGCGAACGGAAGACTGAAACTCCAAAGGGGATGTGCTCCAAACACAAATCGGAAGTCTTAACTAAAAACGGTAGAAGGTATACGAGGTCAGTCGAGTGGAAGAGCGGATGAAGACCCGCAGTCGCAGCGCACTCCAGCTTGGGCATCAGTGCGTATACGTGATGTATCAGCGCGAGTAAATCAATACTCAAATGTGGGGTCCTAATCAATCGGGATCGGAAGGTCAGCTGAAAAAAGCTAAACAGAAAAAATTAAAAAAAACAATGCGAGTATAAAGAGTGGTCCCATCGAGTTTATCCTCTTGGCCACGTTTCGGTTGTTTCGGCCACAATTTTTGATTTTTTACTTGTTTTGACCAATTTGGCGATTTTGTGATTTGTCGTCTTTAATTTCCACACAATTTTTGTAGCCACTCAAGCAAAAGATATTTAATGGCTGCACTTGAACGTGCCGAAGGACAAAAGCATTCGAAAAACGCGGATAGAGTCGAGTGAAAGAAGGGGGAGCAATGATTCTGCAGTTTGAAATTGAGTGAAAAGCGCTGACGTTCCTCGCATATTGAGAATTTTCTTTGCATAGATTTTACCTTTTGTGGATGCACCTGCTTTCCGTTCTCCCCCTTCCTGCCAAATCTTTTAGTTCCATAGTCGCTCGCTTTGCGCTACTTTGGAATTATTTTTTTCCCAATCCGCTTTCGTTCTCTTTGCCTCGAAGAAAAAAAGATTTCCCCTTGCTTTGGCCCACCTCAAATTGAGGAAATGAAACATTTCAATGATTTGCTTCCGGCTTTTCCTTTTTGCGCCACCCTTCGTGCACCGATTCATAAACAAAAAGAAAGAGTTTTGTTTATTACCTTTAAGGCGCTTTGCACAACTTCTTGACCGCCACGCAAAAAGTTCAACCTTAATAAATTATTTAAATTATAACTTTGATCTGTGCTGGGGGACTGTACAAAAGTGCTGTGCGAATAGTTACACTGTGCTGCCGACAGTTTTACAATTTGAAAAGTTATGAAGTACACGTTCGAACCAGCAAAATTAAAGAAGTCGAGAATGTTGCATAAGATTGGCTGGCAAAATATATTTTTTGCTGCCAAAATATTGTAATATTAAATTATTAAATTAAACACAGATGATTTAATTCCTTGTTCAGTGTACTGTATAAATAAAATACATGAATACTTTATTATTTTAAATTTCGTGACACCTTTAATATTTTTTAGTCCGTATTAAAAAATGAATTTCTTCATATTTTTGGCATCTTAAAACATTTCCTACAAAAAGGGTATGTTCTACAGTGCTATTGATTTCACTACCATGAGAAGCAATTTATTGCAGTGACACTGAACATTTGGTAAGGCATTCCGCAAACAATGGAGCAAGGACTATGACTATGTTCATCGTTTTTACTGGCTGCGTTCTGTTTTTTTAGTTAAAATTTCGCAATTTGCAATAAAAATTCCAGTTTTGCTTTTCGGAATTCAGTTGGAGCGTACGCCCCAGCTAAGCTTCGGCTTGAGCAACGGCTTGTGGCCTTACGGCTTTTCCGGCAAAGGAAAGCGATGCGAAAGGATACGCATCCTCCCAACGGGCTGGCGGAGCTATCAACCGGCAATTATTATGCGTCCTGAACTGCACGTGCCTCATATAATCTGGGTGTATGGGTACGTCTGGGTGTGAGTGTGTTGTTGTTGTGGCTGCTGGGGCGTGCCGACAATAATTTAATATCAAAACATATTTCACTTGCATGCCGAAGAAGCTGAGGAATGCGCTCAAAAGCTTAACGGAGTCGAGCCAGCCGAGCAAGCCGAATGGAGGCGATGAAGCGTTCATCTTGTGCCTTTCCCCATCTCCGCCGACTCTCTTTTTTCCACTATCCCTCTTTCTCCATCTCTCCTGTCGGCTCCTGTGTGTATCGTAATTATTTTAAAGCCACCAAGGAGCCTTGACATTTCCCAAAAATATATTTTTGCCCCAGCCGCAAAAATGCGTCTCCTTATGTGAAGTTATGGCACGACCTGCTGCGGCAGCCGCTGTTCTCTACACTTAGGAATATGTGGGATTTTTGTATTAACTATTTTTTATCAATATTTGTATTTATGCTTTTATTTTAATATGTTGGTCGTTTACTTTAAATGCGTGAAACTAAAACATTATAAAGAATTTATTAGTTAATAAATTTATATACTAAGGAATATGAAGGATTCTTGTATTAACTATTTTTTATCAAATTTTCATTTATGCTTTTGTTTTAATATGTGATTTTTTGAGTAGTTATATTTATTAAATCAATACTTTAAATGCGTAAAAATAAACATTATAAAGAAATTATTATTGAAATTTGATGAAAATATATAATTATTGTTATTATTTGGGAAAAATATTAATAATTAAAACTATGCTTTTTGAGGTGGCATTTGATTTGTTATTAGTTATAGTTTTTAAAGAGTAATGTTTGTAAAGCTATTTTTTCTGCTACATTAGTTTCTGCTTTTGTTGGTTAAAAGTGTCATGTGATTTTTAGTAAGTCTCTTATTTTATTTAATTCTCTACTGTACTTGAAGAAAAAACAGCTATTTGTTAAAACTTATTTTCTAAGTGCAGTGATGAGAGTATCCGCAAAAGGACGGGCATGAGGATAAGCAGGGCCGTTGTTGATTTCGCTCATTTCCGACTCAAATGGATTTTGATTGTCTGCCCTGGCCTCGGTGTTGGACCTGGACTTGGGTGGCCGTGATGCCCTCTACGTGTCTGCCATTTGTCTGCTCTCATTTTGGCCGGCTCAGCCCGAACTTCGGCGTCTTCGGAGCTGCCAAATGCCAAATGACTTTCTTTTCTTGGCCATTGCCTCGTTTGGCTGTTGCTTCGGTCCCATTTAGTTTTATTGTAATGATTTCTATTACCACACGAACAGTCCGTGTCCTCCGCGCCATAGTTTGCTGCAGCTGCAGTTGCCAACTCTCAACGGCCAACCCCCGGCCGCCATTTCTTAGCCCCCAATGGACTGTTGGTCGTTTACGTGGCCATCGCGCTTAATGAGTAGTTATTTCCGCTTGTATTTCTTGATCAAGTCGTGCACGGCGCGGCTTTGTCGGCAGTTAAAGCTAATGCCGGGACACGTTCGCCATTAATTGATGCCCATTCTATTGCCGGCATCATTTCATTAACCTGCTGAATGCTCCATAATTGAATTTATGCCATAATTTCTCAGTTGGCCACAATTTTGTCAATGAATTTATGCAATGGTTCTTTGTGGTCGGCCCAAAGCTTTGATATTTATACACATTTTTTTTTGCAGCTGTCACAACAATAGATAGTAAAATAAGTAAAAACCGTGGACGCGATAAAAAAATTGTTAATGTTTTCGCCTTCTTCTGTGCGCTCTTTCGAAACGAATGAAAAAGCATAATTAATTTTAATGCGCTTTTCCGCTGCTTTGTTTTTACTTGCTTATCATTACCATCAGTGGACGGATTTCATTATGCAGATGATGCAGTTTTAGCCAAGGACAGTTCTGATTCACGGGCTGAGGACTACTTTAGCGACATTGTCGGACTGTAATTTTGGAAACCGAATATGGTTTGTGCAGCCGTTTTACACCATTGACACGGACCGAAATACGTTTTCGACCAAGTCCATGTGTGTTTGCTTCCGTTCCACCCGCTGATGATTATCAATTTGCGAAATTCGTT